AAAGAAAATGGGTTGTACTGGGACAACTGGGATCCGAGAACGAAATCTTCTGTCATTGAGGCAGATGCTTTGTGAGCTATGTAGGCAATTTAATGATCTTATTGTGTTCGACGAAATTGTATACGTACAATGACCATTTGTGTCTAAAAAAATAACATAATGTAGGAAATATCTCTATTAATCGAGATCTGCTGCACTACAAATACAAAAGATTAACGGTTTCCTTATATTGTATTCACGTTTGAATTGAATCTTAATATTTATTGTTGAGCATAGAGTATCATACATTATTTTATACTTTACCCCTATGTAACTGCCATACGAAAAAATGTAAATGAAATGTGCAATATTTTAAATACTGCAATCTTGTTTAAAGCAATTGCTATGCCAGAGTTCTAGTTCTAAAAGTAGTGGTTTTCGATAGCATCTACACGCAGGTCAACATCCGTCGCTGTTTGGAGAGAAATTTGCGCGGTCGGTTGCCCTGTACCGGCGTTTTTCGTGATTTCGACGATCAATATTTGGCGAATATCGAAGTAGTTTCCTAAGAAACAGGTGACGGTCTGTGAGCAATCTTCCCTCGTGGGAGCTTAGAGCTCGTCCCAGCCGGTGAGGTGGCCCGGGGAGGAGATGCCTGGAAGGGGAAATAAGCGATCGGGTCTGGGGTCGGACCCGGTTTTCAAGTTGCACCGAGGGAGGAACAACCCTCTCCAAAACATGCACTACACTTACGAAAAATCTCACCCAACCAAAAGTCACTCGATTTTGATTGTTTAGATGACAATGTTGTCAAATAAACGGATACAAAATATCTAGTTGCAATGTGCTGAGATCTATTTTCGGCAAAATGGGATTTTCAAAGCAAGTTTTTAATTTATTTTCTAAGCCCAGTCTTATTTGAGATATTAAAATGAATGCTACTACAGGACAGTGTTTCTTGCCTATATATCGAAAAACAGTCAGTTACATGGAATCACTGGCCAGTTAACTCTGTCAGTGTTAATTACTGGTTAGGTTGCACATCACTGACATTGTTCGCAAACTGGCTAGTGTTTCCACATCTCTCTCATTATCGTCCAAAGCTGACAAGAAACATTCCGGGTAAAAGTACCTTAACATAAGAACATTGGTCAAACCGTTCACGCGATATAGGGGAATAAAAAATTGACTTGCGGGTCATGTAAGGAGATGAAAATCATTTTAATACTGTTGTGTCATTGCTTCTACACGCCAAGAGATTGTTTCTCTTCTTCCAGTGATCGAAACTTTTAAGCAAATTCGAAGATTTCTTCGCGACTTTTTCAGCACGTTGTTAGAACTATTTTCATTTTTTGGATTCAAGATAATAACTGTCGGTTAGTTGTTCTTTAAGGGAGGGTACTGTTTATCAACTGCTACTGCTGCTAATCCAATCCAGAGGTTAAATTAATTTTCTCGCGTAAGTAGGTTATAAAACAAATAGGAAGGGAATTCGATGAAATATGTCTCCTGAAGATGACGTAGGACAAAGTAATACGTTGTTAAACAAGCAAGGACGTCTGAAAAAGACGTTATTGAAGCACATTTTGTAAAATATGGTTATGATAAAGATTTTGCAAAAAAAGTTGCTTTTAAAAACATGAATTAAGCTCACATGATTTCCCCTTTAATTTTTTTAACTCTCGTATTTTTTCCTCTCAGCTCAAGAGAACGTTACTCTAAATATAAAAATCTTGTATATTTATAAACGATTTCAAAAATTCATTGAATTTTTTCGAGGACTTTATAAATATTTTAGGAGAACTTTTTAAACTGTTGTAGATAAAAGAAATTACTACTTAATTCTTTGAAGTGAAGTCTGTTTCCCGACTGACTCTACTTTCTGACGAAAACAGAGGAACGAATATTTTAATACCAACTTTCAGCGGAAGAATGTGCGTCATGGGGTGTAAACGTAATTCTTACTTGAGTCGTATTGTGCACAAAAATATAATCCGGTATTTTGATGTGAGAGAAGGATTTTAAAAATGTAATAAAAGAAGCCCTTTGAAGTCCAAATTTCACCATTTTCAGCTTTCAATCATTCAACTGAGGAAAAATGCAATAACTTTTCTTATAAAAAGCATTATATTCGTAAACTCCTTCCGCGAATTCACCTTGAGCGTCGTTGCACTCAGGGAACACGGCCCCCAGTGAGGCGAGGGCGAGGGCGAGGGCGAGGGCGTGGGGGAGTGCGAGGGCGAGGGCGAGGGCGAGGGCGAGGACGCGGACCGGATGCGGACGCCCGGCTGGCCGGAAGTGACGTCCAGCGACCGCGCTAAATGGGGCGAGCGTCGCGGCGCCCGGAAGACGTCAGACCTCCCCCCCCCTCTCGACTCTCGATTCACCTCGCCGCCCCGCCCCTCCCAACCTCGCGTCGCGCTTCCCCCTCCGCCCCACTCCTCATGGCCCAACGCACGGGGAGAGGTGGCTCAGGGCATCAACTGACGTCACTGCTGTCCCACTGACTGGGTCCTAAACTACCACTCCCGACGGTGGCAGGATTTTTGACATTAGCGTGTACGCTGGGTACGCTGAATTCTGTCTTGAGAATTCTAGCGGCCGGCTGCTCTGATCGGTAGTTTTCCGTTGTTCCTGCGATCAATGCCAGGGAATACCGTTGCAGTACCCTCCCAAACGAGCCGCGGACCGCGCGAGATCTTTCCTTCCCCTACTGGGCCTCGTAACCTTTAACACACCTACACTACACCAATACATACACTACACGGCTCACATTCCGTATTCCCGGACGGTCGGGGGCTTGTTCCGGCTGGGGCGGTGCCGCTAGCGGAGATACCTGGGGGTGGGTCGACACCGGAGTCTCGACATCCACGCGGGGAAAATCACCGAAAACCTCCTCCCAGCAAAAGCATGCCTAAAGTTACGAACTAATGATCTTAGCTGTTGGCATAATCAATCAATCTCATGCGGCCCTTCGCTCTTGACGTGCCTCTCGCGGCTTCCCGCGCATCCCCGCCCTGCGTATGTCTCTCCACGCCTCCCCCCCCGCCTTCCGCTTGCGCCTTCTTCCTCACTGCTTCGTCTCAGCCCTCTCGCCCTCCTTTCTATTTTAAACGTCCTTTCAGTAACGTTTTTAGTGTTTCCTGTCATTTATTTTATCGCGTGACTACATCTGATACGTTGAATCGTTTATTGTTTAATTGCGATTAGAAAACATGAATATCCTTTTTTCTGAACGCTGATACACTCATGCATGATGGCGTTTCTGTCAAGGGGCTAAAAGAAAAAAGAAGCGCTCATCTACTTTTCTCTAGAATCTCAAACGTGGAGAAGGAAGCAACAGAGCTGATGTTAGCCTAAATGATGCGTGTTTTTTACTTGTCGAGTGCCCTCCCTTTTACATGAGCATTGTTGGCAACCCTGATCCCAGTGCACTCCCTCCCACTGCCGTCGCCGCCCCCGCCGCCGGTGACCGCCACCGCCCGCGCGGGGCCCCTGCGGCCCAAGGGCAGCGGCTGCTGGCTGCCCGCCCAGCGCGCACCCCCTTTCTCTGCCGTCCCTCCCTCTGGCACCTCTTAGTTCTTTATTGGATATGGTTTGCTGTCCATATTTGTGGTAGCTTAGAGCTTACACTTAGAGTATGAATTGAAATAATATTTTGCTGTTTTCACAAATTGCGCAATACTGAGACACCCGCGATTCCTTGGTGTCGGAGATGCGCTGACCTCGCGAGAGAAAAGATTCCTTCGCAAAATGTAGATGAACGTCTCTTTTTTTCTCCCAAAGACCCCCCCCCCGCCCCGACAAGTCTGCCACCCCTCCGTCGCTTTGTGAGTGTGCAGAGTAGAGTCCTGCACGAGACGATTTTAGTCGAGCCCCGCGGCATCCGCTAGATGGACAGGCCAGTAGAACAGGGTTGTGCTCGTCGTTACCCAGCGAGCGAAATATGCTCGGCCTTGAAAGCCGAGCACCCGATGCTCGGTACGGCTCGGGCTAGTGTTGCGTAGGAAGGCAACAGGCAGTGGGCCACAATGAGGCGACGTGTACACGAATAAGGACATGTGGACGTGAAAAAACAGGACAGTTTATGCTAATGCATGGAAAGATTACGCCTCAAATATTATAATAATAATAATAATAATAATAATAATAATAATAATAATAATAATAATAATAAAAAGAAGAAGAAGACGAATAAATGCTATGTCTGAAACATTTGAACAGAAATACACTATTCCTAATGTTTTACTTATTATTTTATCATTTTGGATGAACTATAATAACGTGCAGCTGCTCAAAGGAAAGAGCAAAAATAAATTAACCACTTAATTATTAGAAATATTTCTAAATAAAAATAATATAATTCATGATTCAACAAATATGTGCTAGTTAATTGCAGTGCAAACTGTAAAATTCCGTTACAGATTGTAAACGGTATTAAGTTTATTTAGAGAGCTCAATAATTATAATAATAATAATAATAATAATAATAATACATTTTTTAAATTTCACTCTACTTTTCACTGTTACTCGTGTTCCAATGTTTCTAAAACAAAAAATGTATCTCCAAAACCATCTAGAAATATAATATTTTTCTTGTAATCCCACAAAAAAGATGTACGTTTATATACAAACTTCTCAAATCAGAAGATAGCCTTTGCGATTTAACAAACAGTGTGTGAAACCTCTTCTTCTTATCCTTATTTTTTTTAATTACTTCTTCTGGAGCGAATGTGAGCTTTCATAATCCTCTTAATTTACTTTTAAACGCACGGAAAACTTGTATCAACGTCTTGCGTAAGCCGAGGCTACAATACGTGGAAATCGCCGCCGGCGTTGGCCGGTGAACGGCCCACCACGAGCGAGCACAGGATGCTCGAGGCTGAAATGCTCGAGCGAGTAAGAATCAATGATCGCGCGAGTAAGAATCAATGCTCGAGCGAGTACGATGTCAGTGCGAGTTCGATGTTCAGTGGACTGGAGGGAGTGAGCAGGCCGGCGCTGACATTAGTGGGTTGCAGGTGATCAAGATGCTGGTGGCCGTGGTGGTGCTGTTCGTGGTGTGCTGGGCGCCGCTGCTGGTGCTGAACGTGCTCCGCGCGTACGGAGTGGTGCCGGCCAACGCCCCCGGCGCGCCAAAGCACGCCGCCACCGCCTTCCACCTCATGGCCTACTTCAACAGGTGAGCGCACCGCCTGCCACCTCATGGCCTACTTCAACAATCGCAGACAAGTTGTACCCAGGAAAAACTCAATGTAACAATAACACGTTTTACTCAACTCACAGGCAGATTTTATTACAAACAGTGATATTCCCTTTCACCAGAAAAAATGTCCAGAAACGAAGCCATAGTAACGAGATATTAAGAGATGTACCAATTGTAGCGCAGACAACAGTTAATCAAATGGAGTGTACAACTTTACAAAGCCAGGTTGAAACCAGTATCTAATCTTCAATGACTCTCATAGACACGCCAGCCTTCTCGCACACACTGTTGTTCCGGTGGCAGTGCCCGGCTTTATCCCCGGTCCCCCATAGCCTCGCTGCTCGGCTGGCGCTCCGCCCGCTGGCCGCTCGTTTCCCATTGGCCGGCGCCTTTGCAGGTACGCCGCCCCGACAAACTTTAGTGAAACTGATTCGCTTCGTAGTCTCGGCGCCTTTTTCGAACTGCCACTTACAGACGCAACACAAGTATGGGCAATTAATGATACAGAATTGTTGTAGTAATTGTTTCCTTTGATTGTGTACAATAACATTGCATTTAATATTATATCATTCTTCTAAGTTTTAATTTCTCTTTTTATTAGTAATTTTCTTACGTGAAATATTATTTAAAGTAAATTGGATCGTAATTTCACTTCGACCCTTTTTTACTAGCGCAGTGTTGACTGTCGTCTGATTGGTCATTTCGTTTTATCTGGTTTTGCCATGTGCTTGCCCTTAAAAGCAGGCCAATTCTTTAAGTTAAAATGTTTCGTGAATCAGGCTGGTAAACCAAAGCCGTCTTTCAGCAGGGTAGGGTAGTCAGCTGTCCACTAGGTTCCCTTGGTTGAATCCTGCATGTCAACGGCCATGACACGAATGGAACGTAATTAATGCCTTATTTTACGTGACGAAACTCGGGCCATCAGGCCCGCTCTTCCGTCGATTCAATGTAAACGTCTAACGGCATTTAACGTGTAACGAAGTTACCAAAAGTTATTGAAAAAGTACCATGTGAAACTAGATGTAATGGGTTTTATTACACTCATATGAAGTTTACGAAACTCGTTCGTTCCTCACTCGTAGCGCATCACACTCATGTATCAATAACCATCATTACATCATCGTTTCATAATGTTCTGTTATTATTATTAACGGAGTATTCTTGAATCCACCGAGCAAAGTGGCTCAGGGCTTTGCGCACTGGCTTCGCATTCGGGAGGTCCGGGTTCCATCGACCTACCGGCCATCTTGACCAGAGCTTTCATGGTTTCCCTCGGTCATCCAGGCAAATACTGGGATGGCTCTACTGAAAGGCGAACCCGGCGTCGCTAGCCAAATTCGTTAACCATGTGAAGTCAAGAAGGTTAAGCAAATTCGAGGCATCACGAGTTCCCGGTTGGGTGTCCAGTTGGGGTTGGAGCAACGACTCCAAAGCCAATTGCACTTTTCGGAACATATACTGGCTAAATACAAATTTCTTGAATCCACTTTTACATCAAATTCGTCACCTCATTTTAGTGCTGTTTCTCGAAAAACGAAACACTCCTTCCAGCTCCTGAATATGTTTACCACTATCCCTTGAAAAAGTTTGAAGAAAAACTTTGGAGCCGTTTTTGAGAAAATTTTGAAAATGTCCCGGGGACGTTATATAATGTAGCCCCAAAAACTAATGAATGATTTTCAAAACCGTAGAGCTTCTACTCAGGCAAAGCAAACAGGGTTCCTCGATTTGGAAAAAATCCTACGCCTGGTTTAGACGCTAGTGTTGTTCACATAACAGACGGACAGACGTTTGACAAAACACTTTGTGTTATTAGGAGACCCCAAAACGTGTATTTCCGTTGAAATCTCGAAATCGATATTCCGCAGCATTACATAACTTTCCCTTCGCTACGTGTATTACTCCCCATATACGTACGAATACGGGAAAGTAAAAACCGTATATTTGAGCGAAAATGAGTCCTGCCTAATTCTATTAAGCCTTTTTTACACCATCCGAGAACGAATATTAATTAAAAACATTGGGATCCATTTTTCAGAAACTTTTGAAAATGGAGTTTCTTGTTAAGAACACCCCAAAATGAAATTATCCGTTTCAAACTCAGAGAATTTGAAGTTTCTTTAAAACGATCAATGAATATCAATTTTGGATAGACAGATGTTTTGCGATCAATCAGTTTTTCGGTATCAAGGATCCTCAAAACTTGGATTCCGATTACTCAGCGTGTTAGATGAAGTAATTTACTATATATTGGGACATTATTTATACATTTTTCGTTACCAGAGCCCGGCAATAAAAGTTTTTCTGTTCAATATTCGCTGTTTTCGGAGCGCGATTACAATCTTTTATACTTTGAATAGTCAAAAAACTGATATACCTGCCTGATATCGTTTAGGGCCGCCGCAAGAACGCAGAAATACCGCAACACGGGGTGGCATGGACTCTGCTAATGTCTGAAGTAGTTCTGGAAGTTCCATGAAGCCTGCAGGATTCATTAACTCGTAAGAGTACGAGGGGATGGAGATCTCTTCTGAACAGCTCCTTGCAAGTCATCTAAAATATGCTCTCTAATGTTCTTGTCTGGGGATTGCGGTGGTCATTGCAAGTGTTTAAATTCGGAAGTGTGTTCCTGGATGCACTCTGCAGCAATTCTGGAATTGTGGGATGTCGTATTATCCTGCTGGATGCATCCTGCATAATGGACATGAATGGGTGCAGGTGATTAGACAGGATGCTTACGTACGTGTAATCTATCAGAGACGTCTCAGAGGCCCCATTTCACTCCTACTGCTTTCTTCCCTTACCATCACAGATCCTCCACCAGCTTAAACAGTCCCCTGTTGAAGAAACCTCATACCAACCTCTCATACATACCTCTCGCTGAATGGCTTGCACCCTGACACGTGAGGATAGCCCAGTATTAAATTCTGCAGCAAATTGCAGAAGGGTTGCACTTCTGTCACGTATAATGATTCTCGTCAGTCGTAGTCGATCTTTCTGCGCCCACAGCGATGCCGGAGGTCGGATGTTTTTTGGGCTTCCCGATATTCACGGTACACTCGTGAAATGGTCGTACGGGGGAAAATCCAAATTTCGTCGCGACGTCGAAGGTGCTCTGTCCCATCTTTCTTGCGCCGACTAAATCACCACGTTCCAACTCTCGTAAATCGTGATAACCTGCCATTGTAGCAGCAGTAACCGATCTAACAATTTTGGCAGACTCTGCTTGTCTTATATAGTGTGAAACGCTGTATTCTGATTAGTTCCAGATCGATTTTTTCAATACGCCTGGCTGTACCAGTTTTTCTGGCTGTTCAGTGTATAATGACCACATAGACTAATATATTCTAACATCTTGCACGAAAGGATTATCAAGTTCTGTAAAATTATAAACATTCATAAAGATTGTAAGACTGATTTATTAATGCAAATTGAGTGCCACAAAATCATATCAATCATAAATCTTTTATAGATGCTCTTGTCATTTTAAACATGTAATAATTAAGTTGTAAGAGAAGAGTATTGTTATGAAAAATGGTAGTCAACTGGGTTAATTTATATGGTCGGTAATGGTTATGCAGTTGAATCGTTTAAAAATAAATGTATTAAAGTCAACATCAGACGCATTCCTATCATTGGAATGAATTAGTGAGCCACTAACATACGTCTAATAGGGAATAATATAAACAGAATGTAAGAAGTCACGGGAAAATACTTTCTTCTCATACATGATGTTGTATATGCTGTAAATGCTTGAGACAATTAAAAGATTCAGAAAAGATCTTGCGAAATATTAATTTTCGAATGCATTTGCAGTTACACTGAACAATGCTCACTCAATGAACGCATAAGTCACGACGGATAATTACATTATTAATAAACGTAAACGAATAAAAATGCCTTACAGTTGTCTCATTATTTATTGATTTGCAAGATGACTACAAAGAAATTCGTCCCGAATTCTGTGTAGCCTGATACCTCTCCTTCCTCCGTCCGGCATCACATAGTGATGGCAAACTCCCTCTGTCCCCAGCCGTAGTTTACCAGCCGCTCCAACTTGCGAGCAGCCAATATTACAGCCGGTTGCCGCGTGGGGCTCGTAGCGTCAGCGCGAAGCCGGTCGCACGCGGGCGGCTGTCGCGTCCCATACACGCCACGCGCAAAACCGCCCACGCCCAGCCGCCCTCGCGCTGCGAAAGTCATCGCCTCCCTCTGCCCCCCCTCCCGACCACCCACCTCCGCCCCGCCACTCCCTGCGTTCTTCCCGCCACCCACTTCCCGGTTCCCCGACCGCTCTTCCGCCCCAAACCCTCGCTGCCGCATGCTCCCTCCGCCCTCTGGCCGCCCTCCGCCACCCCCTGCCTCTCCCGCCACCCCACTCCGGCTCTCGCCGCCCCACACACCGGCACCACCGCATCGCTCCCGCCGCTCCACTCCGCCCCACTGCCCTGGCGACCAGCGCCATCCCAAGCCCCTGCGCCGCCCCCACCACTCCTCGCGGCGCTCCTCCATTCACTGACCAACCACACCCGACTCTCCCCCCGCCCCCGCGCGCCACCGCGCTGGACGCCTCGATGAAGGCGCTGTCCGCAGCAGCGCTCCGCTCGGCGGCCTCCGCGAGCCGTGTTTTCATTACTCGGACGATCTACACCTGACACCCCGTAATGTTGATCTCGTCACTTTGCCTGGCTGATCTGGTGGTGGAACCATGCGTGATATCAGACCACAAATAACGCAGTGAAACACATTGGGATGTTTTTAGACTACTGAATTTACTAGAAAAAATTCCTGAAATCGAAACTTAACCTTCTTTTACATTGAAGGGGGCATTGGCCCCTCGCAGAGCGCGAGTGATGGTCGCGCAATGTTCCCGCCCGACGTGGATGCAACACATTTGATTTTTCCCTTTTGATTAGTACCCTTTCGCGGGCCCCAATAAATGGCCCCGCGCGCCGCCTATTGGGCAACCCTGCCTC